GGAAATAAAGCATTAGAAAGTTTTCGGGGTTGTTGATGCTGAATCTGATTTTAGAATTTGAAAATTCAAAATGGCTGAATCAATATTGCGGACGGAAATGCTCAAAATTCTTAGATTGTAGTGAAATTTAGCAATTAAGGGTGTTCGGGGTCGTTAATTTCTGTTGAAATGTAGATTTTGGGGGTCGCCGATTTCGAGGACAAATGTTCGGAAGTGAGAACCATACAAAAAAATAAATTTGAGCCTAATTAAAATAGGGACGAAAGAAGAATACAGCTTTTACAACCGTAAACAAAAGAAAGAGTAATTTCAAATTGTATAGAATTGATTGATTTTAAAGTACATTGATTAGGTTTAAAAATAAAAAGAAAAAATAAATATTTTATACATGTATTCAAAACTTGAATAAGTATGTAAAATAATATAAAGAATAAGAGTCAACGAGTGATAAATAAGAAAAGTTGATAAAAATCAAGATAAAATCAGGGTCATGTGAGGTCAGCGCGCGCATGAAATGGGCTAGTTCATGTTAAAAATAAAAGTACTTATTAGATACCTTTAAGGCACATTTAAAATACCTGTACCTGTACCTAGGTATTTTACTTTTTTACTACCTGTACCTGTACTTCGGTACATTTTTTTAGAGTACCTGTACCTGTACCTAGGTATTGAAAATAGAGTACCTTGCACAACACTGGTGGAGAGAGGGAAGGGGTTGTGGGAGGGGAAAGAGGTGGTGGAATTGGTCGGTCTTCAATAACCGGGAGAATGTCTTCTATATCTTACATATTTCCATTAAGAACGTCTGCAGTTAGCCTATAAAACTTACAGTTCCCGAAGTTTACCACGAGGAGGTTGCAATACGTTTTTAAACTCCATATTCTCGGGGTGCTTTTTTAACGTAAGTCCCCTCGCCTCTCACTTTATGTATTTATCATCGGGGTGCTTTTTTACCGTAAACCCCCTCGCCTCTCACGTTATGTATTTATTAACAAAACTCTCACATTACAGAAGAGAATTAATTAATTCTTAATTATCGTCACTATCACTTTCAATGATTAGAATGGAATTATCTTTCTTAAATATATCGCTGATTAAATACATTTCTGATTGAGGCTGAAGAAAAAGGATGGTTTCGCCGAAAACTCCTTTTCAAAAATATTACATGTAATGATCTTTTGGATTTTCCAGAAATGAAGCAGACATGAACATTTTCTTTACCGGTTTGTATCAACTCTTTCAAACCGTGTCGTATTTGGTAGAGATGGTAGATAAAAATGGTAAATTAAATATAGAATATGTCAAGGATGAGAAAAATGTTGTTAAACTAAAAGTTCTATCCCGACATATTTCTCGTGCAACATATAGATGTTTCCTGAGATACAAACCAAAAAGTATCGATGTTTTCGGGTGACTCATTATGCATGTGAGTGTGCTAATAACAAACGAACAATTGGTTGTTGCTCCCATATTGCCGCAATAATATATTAATTTATCTCATGCAAGATATTTATCAAAAATTTTTAAATCGACAGAAATATATTTATATGCAATAAAAAAATTGATTTTTCTAAAATTTTACATCAGAATATAACCTTAATGGAAATATGTAATATTATATATTATTATATTATAATGTTCACTGAATAAATGTGTAGGCAATAATAAAATCTTTGTCTCTATCAATTTA